GATGAATATCCTCCCAATTGGCTTATGTAGACGACCAGTAGGCAATCCATCAAGCCGATCGGAGGAGTTTCACCAATGGTAACACCACTTCCGGCTGGTTTCGTCTTATGGTCTTTACAACCCCACCCGGGGTGAGCGAGCTGTAGCGGTTGGCAATTCCCCGAAATTATTAGCCACAACATTCATCATTGGACACTGGATGCTGACCCTCAGTGTTTAAGTAGATTTGTTTGGCTGAAGGCTTGAAGTCAAGTATGTACGTCATTTGACACTCTATCGTGTCTCGTTCGTTCGTTCGTGCACGATCCCTAGCTAGCTATGCAATCAACCTCGTACTCTGATTGTGTCCCGAAATATAATTCGTAATTCGAACGATCAACTCTGGTGTTTTGCTTTACCTTAAGCCTACGCAGAACGAATACTATAGAAGTTATGGGTATTAAATCCTGGTCCACCACATTTCACCTGATCGCCTACCTCAAACGGTTTCCAAGCTTTGATTTGTTTCTTACCGGCTCTGTCGATGTCTGCCTTCCGCTTCACGTGTATATTCTGAATAGCTTGTTTCCGCTCGCTTGTCCATCTCTTACTGTTTCCACGTTGTTGCTACGGCCAAGTCTTATAGTGCATGGGAAAGCGTGGTTTCCTCCCATACTTAAGCTGGAAGGGCGATATTTTTGGTGTCCCCTGTATTGTGGCACGATGTGCCAGTAATAACAATGGTAGGTCAATTTCCCAGTTGCCTCCCTTCGCAGCTATCCAGTGCTTGAGTGTACGATTATTCCTTCCTGTTAGGCCATTTATCTGAAGATGATGTGGCGTTGCTCTAATTATTTTAATCCACAACGCCTTCAGAAGAGTCTTGAACTCCTCACTCTCAAAACAGGGACCTCGACCCGTCAATACCACCTTCGGTACACTGTGATCTGCCACAACACATCAAGTTACTGCCTCGGTTACAGTCTCGGCGGTTGATCTGGAATCGCCACGGCATTCGCCCAACACGCGGCATGTCGCGTCATCACCGAAGCTCATTCATTTTCACTGGATGTTTGACGGAAAGGATCCATTATGTTCAGTGACCACAAGTAACTAACTGATGTTGCGGGAATCGTTTGCAGTGGCAGTCAAATGCACAGATCTTCCTTCGTCAACGCACACTGTGGGAAAGCGAGAACGTAGTTTGAAATATCGCTTCTCATATTTAGCCAGTACTCACTTTGGCTCACTAGATCGTAAATCCTTGCAACGTCGTATGAGTTAGTTGGAGGCATTCTTGAATTACCCCACGACGAAGGCTCTTTGACATCACCGTAACCCAGCTACCATCATTATCTTGCCAAGTTAGGATGCCGTAAGCGTTTAATTTGAGTCAATGTTTGCGATACAGTAGTGTCTTTAACTCTGTATTCTTTGCTGACGTCTCGATTTCTTCGCATCCACTTATCATCTGGATGACTGTTTTAAAAATAGGATCTGATTTCTAGAGGCCAACAAGTAGCAGGGGGTCTTGCTCCAACGAATTTTCTGCATATGCTACTTCTGGAATTTCGGTCTCATTATCTGATCTTGACAAGTAGTCAGCTATTACATTTTCTTTTCCTGGATCGTGTCCAATCGTGAAATGAGGTATCCGCCACCACGCTTGAAATCTCCATTTGCATGGTGTAGAGTGTGATCATCAACGCCTAAATGCGCATGAAGCATAGCAGATGAGCAACATGATCCAGTCATCAATAACAAAGTTGGCCTGGTGGTCATTACTAATGTTCTTAATTAGGATATCTTATTGATTATGGAATGTGAATTCATTAATGATGTCGTGAATGGGTCATAGCAAATTACAAACTGACTTAAAATATCACAACAACCTGAATCTGTATGCTCGTTAGCGCCGGAGGGTTAAAGAGGGTCGGACTCGGTGTGAACACATCGAAGTTGAAGCGTGGCAACGTAGTCCCAGGTGTTATGGGTAGTGGCAGTGATCAGGGACTCCTAAGAAATTCACACTGTGTTCCTGCATGTACAGGTAGTGGTGGTTGGGGTTGGGGTGTGCGTTATGAGTTACAGTGTTGTAAGATCTACACATCAACCTGTTAATTAGAACGCCATTAGGTGTCCTGTTGTCGTTTTATGGCGGAAAATATGGCGAGGAAAGTTGTTTCGGGAATATTGGAACCACAACATCAAGAAGTTGTAGTATGATAAAAAGCACCACCTATATATGTATTTCGAAAGGGTTTCTTTGCATTTAGCATGAGTTTGCTGACATGCTTATTCTTGGTATGTTTACTGAATACAAGTATTCCGCACTATTATAAGTTACAACTCTGTGAAATTTATTCTCTTTAGTGTGATTCCTACGTTTAGCTGAACCTTTCTTGGAATCATCTACAATAGTGCCTGCTATAGTGGTACCTTTTCATGCAGATTTCACTACAGGGATACTGTTATGTAAATCAGTCTCTGGTTGCATTGACGAGCATTTAGATTGTGAAGTTCGCTCAGTGCTACTGTTAGCACTAACTGACACAATCCACTTTGGGTGAGTTTAAGCCCGAAATGGCAACAAAATTGTTCCTACTCATGCTTTTGCATTTACGTGGTTTTCTGTCCTTAGCTATAGCAACACACTTAAAACTACAGACTAGTCCTGGATGGTCTTGAAATCTAGTAAAATTACTGGCATCAAGGCATTCACTGAAACTTAAAACTATGGCTTAGTTAGACTGGTCGACTATTTACAAATTTGTTCGCCTTCATGTGACACTTTAACCATGCCAAAACAATTCAGAAACTTGTATTTGATATTTTTAGGGTATTCTGGGTATAGAATACTGAGAACTATAGCCTAATAAGACGTAGCTGTATGCTTCATCACCTCAGTGGCAAAGCAGTCAAGGAGGTTGTCAGTGTGATTGAAGAATAAACGATCAATTCATGGTTGTTTACTCAAAACCAACTCCATATTTTGGCGGGAGTCACCGATACTGTAGTCATCGCTGCATCGTTCGCTGTTCGTTAGAAGACGGAGAAATACTACCAGAAGTAAAATTGTGATTAATTGTTATGACATTTATTCTTAGACTTAGTGTATAATAACCTTAGTGTTGGTTCCACATTGGTGCGAGAATAAAGGATTCTCGAGTCACCAATCTGTGTTCCGGTTTTTTCGTGTTGGTTATTGCACATTGTTGCTGAAGGTCTTCTAAGGACAGCGCTAAGTCCAGTGTAGTTAGACCTGGACGTTGACAGAGGTTTTCTGATTTAGTTAGGTTATCCGGAGGAATTTCGGTATGTTTCATCTAAAGGCATGCCAGCGGGTCTGAATCCGCAAGCATTTTCTCGGTTACATCTAATAAAGATTTTAATCTCAAGATATCAGAGCGGTTTTCGTTGATATTTAAGAGTGGCTATTGTATGCAGTCACACAGACCTAGTTTCGTCTGAATTTCGTTTATTTGACTTAGTATGTCGTCCACTAGGCAAATTAAATCACAAAACTCATGGTTTTCTGACAGAAAATCTCTCACCTGTATGACAGCAGCGAGAAGTGCATTCGAGTTACTACTGTATTACAGAGTGGCAATGCAGAATTAACCGAGCTTACGCCATCCAAAACAGTTGTGTTTCTACGAACTTGCGTCCTAGAAATTTGGAATACAGTTTCAAAGTGTATATCAGAAAACAACAGATGGATGTCGGTGAAAACAACTGCAGGAATGTCACCAATTTCTGAAGGACCGCTATAATGGTCACCCTACGGTTTCGTGAACTTGTCAATACATCTTCCTTATTGAGCGAGTGTCTTTTGAGAAAGTGACTATGACACTATTATCTAACGGACACAAAAACTGATGTGTCAAATAAGTTATTGCTTAGTTATCGCTACTGTTGCAAAGATTGTTTGAAACACACATTTAATCTTGGAGGGGTTAGCAGTCATGGATAGCAGTGCACCTGCTAGTGAAGAGGGATCATTCTTAGAAAAGCATGTCAGCTTAAGAAGTTTAGAGCGATCACATTAACTATAAAAACAAACTTGCAGAGTCACATTTCAGCCCACTGGTTTGTACACTCCTGGAAATGATTTTATGACATATTAGGCACTCAGAATAAACCACAGGAATGGCTTTCCGACGGGCACCCTTAAATAGTTCATTACCATTAAGAGTGTTGCACTAAACAGTTAAGTTAGTCAGTAACTAGTGGATATAATCTCAATTAATCAAGTCTGTCCATGGACTGAGAAAAGCTTTTTGAAGAGTTGAATGATGTGAATGCGACACCAGGCAACCTAGAAACCAGATACCGAAATGGGAAACAAAAGTTAATTTTGTTGTTCTCTGGCTGATTGAGTCCTGGAAGGAATGCTGCCACGGACTATGTAAATCAACCGAAAAATAAAAAGGACTGAAGAGGTGATACACATTGGTATCAGTAACAGGTTTCAGTAACTGATAGGCTAGAAGTGACATGTTGACTTCTGTCACCACGGTCCTGGGTGGGCCACAAGACGTACAACCTCATATTAGGGAAGCGACCTAATTGTGAATTTTTTAGTCCACTTCTTCATTTCTACAGCTAACGCTTGCGTGAATGTCACCAAAGAGTTTGAAAGTCATGGTCATGTGGCCTACATCCAGAGGACAGTTTATTCAAGGGAATCATAAACCACTGGACTGATCCACGAGAGCGCATGGCTTCAGAACTTTCATTTAACTTATTGACATTTAGGCTGGATATCCAGTGAGGACACAGGCCTAAAGCCAAATATCCCAAAGTCACTGTTTTGTATTCGAAAAATGTAGGCAAATACATTACCCGATTCAGACAAATTACATCTTATTGCTTTGTCTAAATTTAGGTAATTTTGAACAAACAGAAGCTATTCGGAATATATCACAGACAAATTTTAGCAAGCTTGCTGAATGATGCCTCAGCGTGAAAAAAGTCACTTTATTTGGGATGTCTCACCAACATTAGTTTAAATTAACTAGTTTGCGTTTCTAACGTCGCGGAAAATGCGGCTTCTGAGCTCCCTTTCGCGGATTTTTGGGGTTGTAAATAGGTTTGATAATAGTTTACGTTTTTATCACTACCTCTTACAGAAAAGCATCAACTCGTGCTGTGAGAACAGTTGCACTAATTCCAGGTGATGGAATAGGTCCAGAGATATCTGCAGCTGTTCAAGAAATTTTCAAGTTTGCCAAAGTAAGTCAATTCTATACTTCCAAAACTTGTTTAAGGTATTGTGGTACATAGTTCACTTGTTTACAAATCATTATTTCGCAAAAGTTATTGCTAATTCTCATATTTGGTTCTCTTAATGTCTAGAAGAATGCAATCGCGTTAGGATTTCCGGGAATTTCTGGAAGCAAGCCCATAGTTTTGGGCCCAAGCAATGTACTCTCGTAAAATTTCCCCGTTCGAACCACATTAGTGTTCCCCACAACATTAGTTTTGTTTTGACTTCGTCAGCTAGCGTATCATATGGGGCTTTTGGAAATAGAGTTAGTCAGCGTGCAACAATTCTTTGGCAGTGGCCACTGTAACCTGTTACAACAAATGGTTATTTATATTTCTGTTAGTATGAAAAAGTTGATATGGAACAGTATTTGCCTTCACTATCCTAAAATATAATGTCACCAAATGGAATATGTTACGATTATTTGTCCTATGCATAGGATAATGCTTTTTTATGGGAAATGAACATTTTATCTACCTAAAATGAACCTATGATGTACTGAAATAACGCTAGTCGTTCTTGAAAAGAAAACTAAACGCTTAATTAATACGACGAAAACTTAAAAACAGGATCTGAAGCTGAAATAATGCCTTAAGTGCTGAAATAAAGCTGGGGAATTGCCACTATGCGCTGAATTAAGTCTTTTTGTTCTGATGTAATGCCAGTCAGTGCTGAACCTCGGCTAAGACGTCTGAGAAAACACTGATTAGCAAACCCAGTAGGCTCTGAGTAGCTTCGGAAAATGCCTAGATAAAGCACGGTGTTGAATTAGTGCCAGTTGTGCCAAAACCAGCAGAGTTCTAGTTTGTACGCATAATCAAGCTATTTCAGAACAATTTCAGAATTTACTCATTAAAGAATTTTAGAGTTAGTTCAGAATTAGCGAAATTTAATTCATCATTATAGTAAGCTTGCGTGGATTGTTACACTTTTGTAGGACTGCTTCGTTACTAAAGTAGTAGTAAAAGACTAGGAATAATCGCTCTATTACACGTTTTTATTTCCTTAAAAATATTATTAGGTTCCAATTGAATGGGATCCGGTGGATGTAACACCTAGACCTACAGGAGATGGACGATTTCGAATGCCACAAGAATCACTGGATATTATACGTAAACACGGGATTGGATTGAAAGGTCCACTGGCTACTCCAATCGGTAAAGGGCACCAATCTTTAAACTTAGCTCTAAGAAAGTGAGTTGTACTCTTCCCTTTGACTGTTTGATATTTTTAAACTGTTTTAATAAGGCATTCAGTGAAAATGAAAAGAATCAGATTAGCATTGACACAATATCTTGATAGTGATATTTTGGGGGTTGTTTAACGGACCATAAAATGGCGAAATGAGTTTTTTGGAAATACAATAAAAGTACAATTTGGGGGTGGTTAATTTGAAAAGTTAACGTCGTAAGTTAGTTTAGTTTCAAAGATACGAATAGAGAAGGAAACAAGGACGTAGAAAGAGAAGCAGAGAATATTTTAAAAATGCATTGTAGGGCTACCGCGTTTATTGTTGTGTGTCTAGAATTTTCACATACAATATCTCTAAAGGAGTCAGTACATATTGAATAACTGCTACGGCATTCATATTCATATATTAGTTCAGCCACATGTGTAAGATGGAATTATTTTTTACCTAAGTTGACTGAAAATCGACCGTGGTGACGTTTGTACTATGTTCGTAATATTGGTAATACTGATTGGTGTACAAACCTTGTTTCTTCTTTTTTCTCCCCACGTCTTCCGCATCTTACTAATCTGGTAATTGTCTGTTATTCTATTATAAATGGCGATAACATAAATCGATTAACTTTTGCTAAATATTTTCCCAGAGGATTTTATCTACTCAGCTGCCAAAACAGTTTGATTCACTAGTCCCATGCTGACGATTTAAATACATGAAACCACTAAATTATCACTTCATAAGAAGAGAAGGTATCCTCACTAAATGAAGTTGAGGTTTATTTTAAAACCATGTTCTTTATCGTTACTTATTCTAGGCGTGTAAATTTATACTCAGCGGGTGTTTTTAGCCGATATTTGCGTACGCATTGAAAGATTACAGCACACAAATATACAGGTATAGAGAAAGATAGAAGTATAAGACACTACTTTCACTGGTCGTTAAAGAATGCCTAGGTATCGAAAACAAATAAGCATAATACTTATCCTTATTAGGTGGTTGGAGGCCGTCGGCAGGGAGTCTTGGAGCTAGGTTTCGTGCTTATTGGCACTCGCCAGTCAGCGAGGGGTGTTTGCAGCCTTGAAGGAACTCATGTCCCTTCCGAGACCGAACCCGTGTCACCCAGTGCTGAATTCACAGACGTTATCACTGAGTTGTTTGGGCTCGCGACTTACCTGCTGTAGAACTGAATTGGATACTCCGATTGGACACTATTTAGTAACTAGTGTTATGCGTTTAGTTGTTTGTTTAACTCCAAGCATCTAATAACAACACTTCAGAGTACATCGTAATGTCGAGCCACCTAGAATGGTGGCCACATTTCCAACTTGACTGATAGAATTTAGTCTACACTGAACTAATGGCTAGAAGGATGATACTAGTTACCAACTAGTGCCAACTTGGTTTATGTGGAATATTTGTACTAAGTTGAAGGAGAGTTTTGCAAGCAATTAAGAAAGTCTTAATATACAGAGTTGTCAGTGCCGTGTACCTATTCAGTACTTACTGTTGATTGTGTCGTCATCAAAATAAAGGTTGTTTCTTTGAGATACTAATAATTAAATTAAACTCCCAGGTTCGTCGAATATAAAGTAGAACTGCATATACCCTAATATTATACGTGTTATCATTAATTTGATATCATGGGGTAGTACCATAGGCGACTCAGATTGATCTACAAGATTATTGATATTATCCCTTACAACCTCACCAATTGTATAACTAATTAGGTACACCGAATCCGGGCCTACTGCCAACAACCCACTGCCAAAAGTAATTCTAAGATTAAAAACTCTGTGGAGCTGTGGCTCATTGATTTGGGTGCTTAACTTTCAGCCATTGAGTCATGGGTCCAAACTCCACTCCACCTATTGAGGTTTAGGCATTACTAGCCCTCACGCACAACATATGTATGGCTGACTGCAAGTGGTTATTGAGTAACATTTCATTTGCATTCCAAAACTATGCAAGTCTTCGGAAAGCATATTAATAATACAAAGCTTTTAATTGTCAAATGATATTTAAATTAGCCTGATAGTCATACCATAATGAGACAATGCTGTCTGCCTATTGGGTGTCGAAGATTTCAGTCGTAAGAAATCTATACTGTTATCAGTATTGATCAAAAGAATGCACCTATGTATCTAACTCCTGGGTTTAAAAATCGGAAACAGTTGTATTCTGTTATATAATGTAAGCGTAATAGACCATATTTCATCAGAGACCTCTAGGTTTACATGACAAACACTATGTGTAAGAAGTATTTCTTAGAATAGCGACCAAAAGGAAGGTAAATACTGAAAATTATTTTAAGAATGAATACCAGGATTTAGGAAAGTATTGACCAAGATCAACTTGAAACTAAGTGTTAGTATTGGTTTTAAAAAGTTAAAACAAGTATTCAGGAATAACTGATTCATTGCAGCTAAAGGTATTATAGGTTATATGATTTGTTGGACACTGGGAGAAGGTCATTTGTCTAGTGGATCAGTGCTTTAACATCCAAGTCACTCGAATTTGTCGAAATATCACAGATTCAAGTGACTTGGATATTATAGGTTACTTCCGTTGATTGATTGAGCAATGGAATTTTTCCTTTCTTAGTTTCTCACTGTCTTTATTTTGAGTAATCCAATAGTCAAAAATTATAATGTAATGTAATGCATCTCACTGACGCGGTACAGAATTGTGTACCAGCCTATAAGTGAAACCTAGTGTAAGGCTTTATATTGTTATTTTGTCCAATAGGTTGAAAATAGGCATAGTACAGTTTAAATTGGTGGATGAAAATTGAGTGCCTAGGTCTATAAAAACTGTATTCCTAACCACTAAAACTTAAATAAACATGACCATCTAATTTTCATTTGTGAAGTGCTTTAATGCTATCCTAAGGATGATTTCTGGTATCCCTTTAAACATACACTCTTGGCTAGATTCCTTTTCCAACACTCCCTTGTCTGGTCTGGTCTGTTTTCGACATAGAACTTTGCACATATGTGCGCCAGTTCAAGTCGCCACACTCCATGTAGCACACAAAGCAAGAGAAGAAGAAAGTAGGAGAAATGCATAATATAGACAGTAAACAGAGGTGTGAGACAAAGGAATAGTAATAACGGAGAACAAAACAGTTTAATTGGAAATCATAAGTCACAACACTCCCACTAATTATGTGTTGTTTAAGTTTACTTCACTTATTCGAAATCCCATTAAAAACTGATGTGTAATCCACTATTTTTCCTAAACTTCTCCTTTGAAGATTAGTTGATCTTTGTTAGCCACATTGATAGATTAAGTTAGAAAATATACAGCTGAGTGAAAAACAGCAAGAGGTTAGAGAAATTCCTATCCCCATAAAAGACCTGGTGCAGCCAAGGGTAGGTAGACTTCGGCCTTCCACTCGAGATATTCTCATGCGCTTACGCATTTATAGCGTCTGCCAGATAAGTCATATCCACCACCTCCACGTGGCAACAGTGTTCTTCACAAAAGTGAAATGGTGAGTAAAACAGTCTGGAGCTTAAAACCGAATTGGTGGACATGCAGGTCTACCAAGAGGAGATAGGAAACCCTGATTCCAAACCTGTTGTGTACATGGGCAAAAGAATTTAAAAGGATCCAATGGTGTGTGAACCTGTTTCGGTTACAGTCGATCATGGGAACGCTGCTTCATTGTCTGCGCACCATCCCAGCCCTAGAACAAACAGTAAGGTTTTCTGTGTGGAGCATCTCTTAGTTCCCATAATGTACTAAGTTTCTAGTACCTGAGGAATTCTGGAGGTATTTTTTATGTTTTAAAAATATGTAAGTTTATTCTTGTATTTAGCTTGAATAGTTTTTTACGTATGGATACATTATTGAAATCAACTTTAATAACTGTGATGTCGTGCTAAAGTGTAGGAAGTTAAAGGGAGATGTCTTGATAGATAAAGAGTAAATAAATAAGTCCATTATACAAGATATAATTTTACTGGAGATATATGCAGTGCTTAGTTATTTTATACTATCAGGTGAACTCTTGTACTTTTATATTTATAACTATCTGATATTTTCTTTCTATATTGAAATGACTATTAGTAGTCTTAGTTAAATATCCGTAGTACAATTAAAGGTTGTAATCTAGGTATGTTTGAAGTTAACGTGTCTACTTAAACTTATACTTTTAGACAGCAAACAATCCTATAATATAGGTGTTTTCAAAGGTTATCTTCATCTGAACTTCTATACTATATTTCTTCATTCCTTCTGTTTTCTCTTCTTTTGAACTTTAAGACACATGGTTATGTTATATCCCTTCTCCTTGTTTCCGTATCTTTTACCTTCCGTTCGATACACGTACATGAAGTATTCCAATTTGAACAACTACTAAATCATATTCGTGTATTTGTCGATAATGTTTGTAGTTAGATCGTTTCAGCGATTTGGCCAACACTCTGATAAACTGTAATTTGACGTTGAAGCCTAAGCATCAATCAAATGGAAGCTTAGGGAAGTAGGTTTCACACTGGTTAGCGCTCCGTAAGACACAGCCTTAAGGCAAATTATTTTCTCTTGTCAATTTGAAGCTCATTAGTCTGCCAAATTCTTGATAATGTTATACTATTTCGACTAATAATATAATTTCAGCTTGATATTTCCACTTATTGTTAGAGCTGTAACATACTAGTGAACAAATGGTTTCTTATCTATGCTAATTCATATATAAATACGATTGTATAATTAACTATAAATATGAAATCGTCACAGTAATCGAATTTCCTTTGCTGTGCGTCGGTAGCACAATGGTTAGGACTCTCGCCGATCATGCATATGGTCCGGAGTTCGATCCGCACACCTGATATCAGTGATTGGCCTTCAAAATTTGGGCTACCGATATCACATGCTGAAAATTCCATACTTCTACCAAAAAGTACTGTGTGGGATCAAGCTGTAATAAAAAAAATGTAATGCAGCAGTCATTTTTTACGTTTTGTGAACTCAGTAATCTAAAGCTGGTGTTTCACATACCAGGTTTTGAGTCACACTAAGTGTGTGAAGGCTCAAAATACCTCGTATTCGTTCAGGATGAGGTAGTTGGAGTGGGATTCTCACCTGTCATTCACAGACTGAAAGAGAAATGTTTTAGTCAATCAGCGACGTCCCCACTGAAATGAAATTTCAGTCCATATGCAGACGTCTATCAGTATTAAAACAAACTTCGTACATTATAGGAACCAAAAGATGCACCACACAGAAAACCTCATAGTTTTATGCGAGGGCTGGGATGGTGCCCAGACAATGGAGTAGCATCAGGAGCTGTGTTCCCATGATTGACTGTGACCGAAACAGGTTCACACGCCATTGGATCCTTTCAGACAGGTTTGGAATCAGGATTTTCTAGCTCCTCTAGGTAGACCTGCATGTCCACCAATTCGGTTTTAAGCGCCAGACTGTTTCACTCACTCTTTCACTTTTGTGAAGAACACTGTTGACACGTGGAGGTAGTGAATAGGACTTACCTGGCAGACGCTATAAATGCGTAATCACATGAGAGTATCTCGAGTGGAAGACCGAAGTCTACCTACCCTTGGCCTCACTAGGTTGCTTATGGTGGCACATACACATGATCCAGCTGTCGCAGTGTCGCGTGTACAAAACGTTGCAGTTTTTGTTGATAAAAACCACAACTCCATGAGATTCTAGTTCATATATTTATTTTAAAATCGGTTTAATATTTTTCCTAAGTATTCAATAGTTTTTTCAATATCTCAAGATGAATTCGATTCATCAGTTTCCTGTATGACAGTGAATTCTTTTGATTTGAAAATAGTTTTGTTGTAAATGGTTATAGCACTCGATTTCCAGTTAACGGACTACAGCTTTGAATGTAATTTGAAATAGTTTCAGTGACTTCAATTCCCCTGCCTTTCGCTTAATTTTTTTCTTCTTCTTCACAGGGAGTTCAATCTTTACGCTAATGTTCGTCCGTGTAAATCTATTGAAGGCTATGAAACACCTTACAAAAAGGTTGATTTAGTCACAGTAAGGGAAAACACTGAAGGTGAATACTCTGGCATTGAACATGTGGTGAGTGGCTGATTATTTTTCTGTTTTTCAATGTATATATTTTTTTTAAAGCGATGATTATTTGACAAGAAGTTATTTCGGTTTGTTTATGATATTAACAAAAAAAGCATAGATAAGGTTAAGGTTCTCTAACTTCGAGACATGCTAGAAATTAGTTGGAAGATAGAGATCCTACTGGATCGATCTGTGGTAATCATTATAGTTCTAGTTGGTGTTTGTTCAGAATGTCCAGAAGATTCCCATGCCAACCTACCAAGCACAACATGAATTTTACAGGTCCTCTCACATGTTTTCTGGAGACCACTAGGCCATCTTCCTCCGTCCGGTTGAGTGATTTCTGCCTTCAGTGTTTTGCTAATCCTTTCATATCACGCGGAGTTAAATGACCAGCTAAAATGATTTGTGCACATTTCTAAGACGGTTGTGCTCTTAAACCACGGAGAGTAAAGACATCAGTAGACATTATAAAACATTCTGCTTTGTGAACAGAAGAATACCAAGTATGATGCACTATCACCAAATCATCACTCCTTACGCAAATATCAATGAGAAGAAAATATAGGTGAATCGATTATTGAGAAACGATAACACATTACGTACGATACCACAAGACAAGAATCAAATACATTAGTGTACTATAAGCAGCGGCTTTTCTCTGGATATTCTGATGGATACATTTGCAGTACTACGTTGAATCCATTTTATGAAAGCCATCAACACCTTGTAAAATAAAATGTTCAGGTTGACACAGTGAATAAACGGTACGTGTTTAAGTAGGTCGCATATAGACGTGTCTTTCCTTTTTGAAAAACAAAACATGTGCGGATTTCTTATTCCAAAAACAAAGTCATAATTTTTGAATAATGTTTCCTGAAATTTCGATTTATTGATTTAATGTTTCTTTTTTGTTTTTCCGTGCTTTACTTGTTTTCAACGCTTTACTGCTGACTCAGTTTTCCTTACATATATATAGTATGCTATTTTATTTCATCTGATTTATGGGCACCTACATTATGCATAGACTGTTTTACTTTCACCTATTGGTTTTCTCAGGGATTTGATTGATTTCTAGTTTTGTCATGAACTGAATTCAGCTAGAGAACCGTCGAAAACCAGCGGGAAGTACTGGACAGCTGTTTCGTCCCAGTTCGGAACTCTTCATCGGTGCGCACCCACAACACCGTGACCAGCGGGCTCCACAAATTCTGGCATGACGACAGATACTTGCCGATGACTTGGGCCAGCATTCGCTTTATAAATTGCGAATTAGCAGAATTTAGAGCTAATGGGCCATTGGATTCTGTCCCGGCGACTGAGTGGTTTACGAACTCGCCTTGTCCCTCGCCGGTGGGGTCGTGGATTCGTACTATCGAAGAGTTTCAAACTAGGATAAAACATCTATCCAATAATCCGTGGTTTTCAGTGGTTCTCTGACGACAGTTAGTTCGTGATCACACTTAGGACTGCTCTACTTTATGTTAGCCGTATGTTTGTATCATTCTGTTGGACTAAATTTTGAATTCAGTTTTCGCTTTCTTTCTCTCGTTGGCTGAATGTGGTATCCACAATGAGTCGTTCGTCAGTGTTTGAGATCGTGTACCGGCAAATAAAACGAATGTTAAATCCTGTTGCGTTGGTGTTCAATAATGTGGTTGGGAATTTTAGTCTGTCGTAAGGTCATTGGCTTTTTTTTCTGGTTGGTGTAGCAAACTCTAGGCTGTGAAGGTAAACCTGATGGTTAAGATCTCAAAGCGCAAAATGGTTCGGAATCGACCACACCAACGTGGTTGCATTCATGCTTCAACTTTAAGTTAAACGTACTAGCAAATTCATGTAATTTACCTAACATTTTGTCTCTTTATGTTTCATTGCTTTCAATTACGTTATTCTCGTTTTTTCTCCTTGTTATACTAATGCCATTTGATATGTAAATAAAGAGAGTGATGTACAACTTTCAATTGACTTACCATAGAGGTTTTTTATGTTACTTATCATCATTTATTTTGTAAATTCATTTTCTAGCCTGTAAGTCAATTTTACCGATTAGGTTAGTGAGTTATTGTGTGATGGCCAACTGTTATTTACAAAGCATATATGCAAAACTAAACTGATTAGCTATGTTTCACTTATGGGCTTTGAATACAGTTGCTTCAATATTATGTATTTGTAATCCACAATGGTGTCTATGTACTGGAATTTTAACCAAGATGGCTAATTGTTCAAATCCACTTTATCTAGACATTAATTAATTAAATAATTAATTAATGATCTCTGATGAAATCTAAGCACGGATACAGAGGGCTAGTTTCGCATGTGCCAGCTTACGCCGTCTCTGGCATAGACGTGGTATCCGACTACCGACCGAAGGACGTGTTTACTCCTCATCAGTCCTCTCCGTCGTCCTTTATGGCTGTGAGACCTGGACGTTGAGAGTGGAAGACATGAAAAGGCTGATTAGCTGTCTTTGATCATAGGTGCCTGCGTTCTATCTCCCGTGTGATGTGGTATAATAGGGTGAGCAATATTGAGGTTAGGCGTCGGTGGAGTGCTAGGCTGGTGGGAGGGGAAATCAATCGACAAGGCTGTGAAGCTACATAGACTGAGATGGTTATGACGTGTGTTACGTATGTCTAGACATCGCCTTCCTCAACGGGCAATGATAGCCGATATAGGGGTCAGGCTAGAAAAGAGCTAGCAGCGGTCAAACCAAAACATGGCACCAGTCAATGAAATCCACAACAGCTAGTTTAAGCCAGCCACGTAGGAAGGTGTAGACTTCCTGGTTGGAGACAATTGGTGATATGGCTCAAAATCGTTCTCAATGGCTGGCGCAGATGCATCCACTCCTTGTGACTTATAATACCCAATTAACCATACTGTTCTTCGATATTAGTATTTTTCACCTCATATGTCTGTTTACTGTCTCTATTTCGGATTTCTCTTTACTTCCTTCTTTCGCTTTGTGTGCTACGTGGAGTGTGGCGAATTGAACTGCCGCACATCGGTGCAAAGTTCTATGTCGAAAACAGACAGACAGACAGACAATTAGCCGTCAAATTCAAATAAAAAACCAAACCAGATTTTCAGCGTAGAACTTTGCACAAAACTACAACAGTCCACATTGCCATACTTCATAAAGTTCACATAAAAATGGTAAAGAAAAACAGAAATGTAAAGAAACTATAATAAATGAAAATGTACGGGTGAAAGAATAGTTATGAAAAAACATAATTGCTTAATGAATATGAGAGAACACAAAGAGTGAATGCATCTGCGCCACTGACAACGATTTCAAGGCATAACAACAACCATCTCCATCCATTGGTTCGTAGCATCCTGATGACGTCAACCAAGCAGTTTACACCTCCCTGCATGGTTCAAATTAACTGTCAAAGATTTCATGGGTTGACACATAGTCCTATGCGTCAACTGACATTGCCCAATGAGAAAGGTGGCTGTCTGACATGCCTAACGCCGCATATCCCAGACATCTCAGTCAATGTAGCTTCACAACCTCATTGACTGATTTGCCCTTCTTACTCCATCTCGGTAATTATTATTATTATTATTGTTCCCTTGGGTTCCTAGTGGAACATAGGGCTTCAACTACACGTCTCCACTTGCTTCTGTCTTCAACTTCTCTTCACACGATCTCCTCCATGTTACTCTTGGACGTCCCACTCGCCGCTTCTCTTTCGAGTTCCACTTGAGCAATAACCTGATGCGCGATGTCACCCAGCGGCCTCCTCAGCGAGTGTTCAATCCATCTCCACTTTCTCCTGCATATTTGTTGGGCGATTGGTTCTTGTTTTGTTTGTTCCCATAGCTTCTTGTTGGTGATTCTTTCCGGCGGCCATCTGATCTTGAGTATAGAGTCAGCGAAGACAGTTGTTGATAAAGGTGTGCAACAAGCTGTTGGAAATATTCTTTGTGACCCGCCAAGTTTCTGATCCGCATAGAAGAACTGACTTGACCTCGGTAATACTCACCATATCATATATTACCTAACATGGAAGCTAGAACCCTACCATATGTGGTCAAATACAACTAACTACCGTCTTCATATGTTCCACTTTATAATGGTCATGTCTCACAGCCACAAAGGAGGACAGAGTAAACTTGTGCACAGTAAGTACACACGTGCTTTGGTCGATACCCCAATATCGTCTCTGTGCCAAAGGTGATGAGTTTGCGAATGTCACACAAACCTTTTCGTCCTGAGATTTCGTCAGCAATCAGTCCATTATGGTTGATTAAAATTCCCAGATAAGTGAAGTGTTCAACATGCTCTACCACTTCATTCCCTGTCTTTAAACTAATAGTCGGTGTAGTAGACCAGTCTTGGGGCGATTGCCATGAGAAACATTTTTGCTCAAGGTGTTCTGAAGACCAAGCATTTTGTTGGTGTCTTCACCTAGAAAGACAATGTCATCCGCATACTAATAGAAGTCAATGAACACCACATTGTCTTCTTCATAGTCCAAGCTATATATATATATATATATATATATATATATATATATATATATATATAGTTAGTGGAAGCTATCGAGAGTTGTATGTGCTAGTCTAGAAACTTCTGTGTTGCTCGGAGCTCTTAAAATAATTGGTTTTATGTTAATGTCAGATGAAAAGTGATTTAAATGTGATGACAATGATGGTTACATATTGTTGTTTTCTTTAATTTAAGTCAATATAACCTTACCTACGACTCGGATGTGGATGCGTTCTTACTTAAGGTGTCGTAATTCTGGTTTGAACTCACCCACTAGGAATAGTGTTTTCTTGTCACACTTATTGTGTTAGGACTGATAGTACTATGTAATGTATTATTATTTCCTTTAATTCCTAGAGGAACATAGGGCTTCAGCCGTGCGTCTCCATTGCGTTCGGTTCTCTGCTAGAGTCTTCACCTGGCTCCAAGTCTGCCCATACGTTTTCATCTCCTCTTCACATGACCTCCTCCAAGTCACCCTCGTACTAACAACCAACTCGCCGCTTCCCTTTCGGGTTCCACTCGAGCACTGGCTTGTCTAGTGATGTCACTTGATGGTTTCCTCAGAGTATGGCCAATCCATCTCCATTTCTTCCTGCCTATTTGTTGCACAATCGGTTCCTGGTTGGTTCGCTCATTGCCAGGGATCCCTGTTGCTCATCCTTTCTGACCATCTGATCTTGAGTATTGAGCGAAGACAACTGTTAATGAAAGTCTGTAGTTTGTTTGAGATGCTCTTTATGACGCGCAGTGCAAGTCTCTGATCCGTATAGTAGGCAATACTGACTTCACATTGGAGTTGAAAATCCAGATCTTATTTTTCATGCTGAGTGCTGTTGACCTCCCGTATGGTCTGGTCCCAGTTTGGCGTTCATGTCTCCCATTAGTATTTTAATGTCACCATTTGGGGTATTGTCCATTTTTGCCTGTAGTTATCTGTAGAACTCTTCTTTCTTTTCTAGGTCTGCGTTGTTTGTGGGTGCATAGCATTGTATAACTGACACTTTCCTTCCTTTGAATTTGAATCTGGCGGTCATTATTCTGGCCGAGATCACCTCCCATTGTATCAGGGCCTTCGCTGCCGTTGGTGACATCATGATAGCCACACCCTCAGTGTGCATGTAGGGTTGCTAACCTTACGTTTGAGAAGGAGGTTGTTACATGAATATATAGTTTACAGAGGAGCGACTTTTTGGGTTGCTCCCCCTAGAATAGGAAAAACAAGGAATAAAGCAATCAGAACAACACCAGCGAAAGGAAAATAATTCACAACAGGAAGGGCAGCGACAACAACAATAAAAAAATAACCTTAGCAGTAGTATCACAGTCAGATACAGTTAACAAAAATGATAACAAAATCATAGACTCACTGACTTGAGCCGACTTAGACATGTAAATCCATCAATTTATACAATTATAGATATTAGCTAGTGTTAGACGGTCACAAAGTTGCTAGCAGATAGTCATAGGTATTATCGGTCAACAAGATTATATCCACAGATTCAGTGTTCGAAAGGCAAATAATTGAAATAAGTTCCACAACTTTTTGGCAAGAAACTCCACAGAAATAAGAGTTTTATGTAACTGAGTAAATGTAGCGTGACAATCGAAAAGCGCGTCTTGTCTTAGGTGGGTCGGGATTTGAATCAGAGACCCACTGTGACTGAAGACTGAGTGCTAAAGTCAATGAACCACATCTTCCTGTACGTTCTTCACATATATTTCTTTGATTGATTGATAAAGGATGCCCATTAAAAAAATTTTAAAAACTGATTAGTAGTGAACAGAGAATATCCTTTTCGACAACTTCATTATCATCACGTTCTACAGTTAATTGTATACGTCAATAATAATTAAATAATTATTGTTGACAATAACACTACTTATTTTTTTAAAGTAATATCGAATAAGATTACAGTTCAGAAGCATCTGTGGGTGTTAATGTACGTCAGTATAATACTAAACTTAATATCAGATAAATTAAGAAAAATAATACAGAATTTATGGATTTACAGGTTCCACAACAGGCACCTGTTTTTTTTGCACACAGAGTTCTGGTTGTTTCAAGGGAATTGCAATGGCTTCTGCTGTTTCGAGTGTTTTACTTTTCTGAGGCCTTTGGCAATTTACTCGGTCTTCGAAAAGATGACTTTGTTGCATCTGTTTGGACTAGCTGATCTTATATTGAACTTTGGATGGCTTTTACCACACCATTATGTAGCCACACTTTTCTTAGCCTTTTAAAACACACAGGAGAAGGTGTTGTGATCACTAATCTGTTATAAATTATATCGCCTCTTCATTCTGTTTTTTATCGCATTGGCTTTCGTCAAATAGTGTTAATCATTTCAGAAACGGCTGCCCCCTCCCTCACTAATAATAATAATTTGCTTTATTCCAAAACAGTACTTGTGATACAGAATGGAATTCTCAGCACTTTTACTACAGTATTGTATCCAGTTAGTACATTATCAATAAATAGAATTCTACATAGATTAAGGAAATCTCAGTTCATTATGACAACAACATATTGGCATGTCGGTAGCAAAGCCAAAGTTGAACAGTGTTTGAAGGTGTTAGAAAAGTAGGTGTTATCATATTTACTGGCGTAAGCGAGAGAAAGAAACAAAGCAGCACATAACGGAAAAAAGAGAGAGAATAGGAAAAGAAAGAAAGAAAATGTTGTACCTATAAATGATGAGTTGGAAAGACGAGGTCCAGTTAATCTACTGACTATTTAATGAATTATAGGTGTCACGCCTAATGCTTTCTTTATCACACAGAAGACGAGCTAAGTAGGGTATGGTTGAGTTTTTGTACTTGCTGGTGCGAGCATATAGTTTTCTATATTGGCTTCTGGTTTTGCCTGTTGAGATGCAAGGGGAGAGTTGTGAGTGAAGAGGGTTATGTGAGTTAGATAAAATGGATTTGGCCAATTTTTCACATGAGTCTATGTGCCTGTCGACCAGAATATTAACAAGCCGGTTAAGTGGCACGTGGCTTACCCTGCTGACAACCTTTAACATCCTGCGTAATATGTTATAGTCTTTCTTCAGTAGCCTGAGAAAAACTAAGGGGGAACAATAGAGAATTATAGAGTAGTCCATAATCCCGTTACGCTTATCTAGTATAACTAATATAGTCTATATCTGCAGTTTATGTCACCCACTATGTGTAAATGCATTTCTCATCTGTTCGTAATACGCGATTCTGTAATGTCTCTATTTATTATTTTATAAAACTAGTTTATTGTATTCATCATACTGTCTGGCAAGTTTTTTATGCTTTGTTATGATGCTCACTTATTCATTCGTCCCAATAGTTGAGAATATTCGAATGCCATCAAACTGGATAATGATTTAACCACTGTTTGGATTGTCTGTTGTGTTAGAAGCACTTGGTGTCAACATTGAGTAACGTTTTTAAATTACATAGTTGTTTTAGGCTGCTGGTCGAAGAAGCAGCAAAGACAGGACTTCAGGGTAACATAGACAAGACGGAGGTTATGAAAATAACCAACCAACAACAGCAGCAACATCCAGTGCCAATCACAATCAACGGGAGGGATTTGAAAGAGGTTACTTCATTCACTTATCTAGGGAGCATTGTTTCAACTACCGGAGGAACGGACGAGGATGTCAAATCGAGAATCGGGAAGGCGAGAAACACATTCATCAACCTGAAACCAATCTGGAAATCTTCGTCACTCAACTCAGCATCAACAACAAAATTCGGACTATCAATATAAACGTGAAGTCAGTTCTTCTATACGGATCAGAAACTTGGCGGGTAACAAAGAATATTTGCAACAGCCTGTTGCAGACCTTTATCAACAGCTGTCTTCGCTCTATGCTGAAGATCAGATGGTCGGAAAGAATCACCAACAAGAAGCTATGGGAACAAACAAAACGAGAACCAATCGCTCAACAAATATGCAAGAGAAAGTGGAGATGGATTGGACACTCGCTGAGGAGGCCGCTGGGTGACATCGCGCGTCAGGCCAGTGCTCGAGTGGAACCCGGAAGGGAAGCGGTGAGTGGGGACGTCCAAGGGTGACATGGAGGAGATCGTGTAGGTGAAGCCCTTCGTTCCACTAGGAACCCAAATGAACAATAAATAAATAAATAATAATAATACGAAAATGAGTTCCGTGTAATGACCTCCTGATGTAATCTATGTATCATCCAACTAGGTAACAGAACAAAACGTCTCTTTTTTTTACAACTTCTTACATACATATAAGTGATTATTTATTATGTACAACACGTGGTGAACTAATTGTCTTTTACATTCTCTTTTCTCCCCCGTCTCTCTTTCTCATAATCATCTTTTTATTTATAGATAGTAGATGGTGTTGTACAAAGTATAAAATTGATCACTGAAGAGGCAAGTCGTCGTGTAGCCAAATTCGCTTTTAAATATGCTAAAGACAATGGACGTCGGACTGTAACAGCTGTGCATAAAGCCAACATCATGTGTAGTTGCATGTCAGCAATAATAATAATGATAATCACTTTATTTCGAACAATGACTTTATACTCAATGAAATTTTTTTAGTGTTTTCCTTTTCGTTTTTCATTCGTTCGCTACTGTCTAGTCGAGATTTAGCAGCGCGTTGAACCCGGACCATCCATCTGGTTGATACGCATTCTACCAGTGAACCAAAGACTCATTTTTATATTCCTATTAATTTACTCTTTTTTTTACAGATAAAATTGAAAAGAAACAACTAGAGAATCTGTAGTTTACGGTAACTAATTCATGGACAGTCAGTTGAATAATGTGTATACCTTCTCTTCACTACTCGATGATATCTTCTCTCAAACTTATGAGGAACAGGAAAAAACGATAGATTGAGATGCTTTTGGACTGTTTATTGTCTTGCGTTATTTCTTTCAGTCTATGCAAGTGTAAATTCTGATCACATTTTTGGGAACTGGACAACTCAACAATGACTTTATAGGTTTATTGTTGAGGTTGTTCTAGTATTTCGTATTTCTCTATTTCCTATGAAGGTTCGCAGTTGTGAACACCTAGTAAAGCTCACTTATTTTCATCACGGTAACCCACTGCTCATTGGTGACTGCCCATGGGATGGATTTCATGACGTTCTAGGGAGAAGTCGTGAATGTTAGGGTCGACGTAGACAGATGAAAACAACAAGACATTAGTTGAACTTTATGGGCCATTGCATCCCATCGTAGACGTTGGTTGGTAACTTGCTCGCCTCGTTACCTCAAGGTCTTGTCCCTGGGTCCGACCCCTGGTAGAGTCATGTGATGCCTACTACTGTAGAGCCCCGAACTAGGATGACACAGGTGTCCAGGACTTCGTTTCCAATAGTTATCCTATTGATGTCACTTTGTGGTCATATTTAACTTGAAAGTAGAAGCATCTTTTAATTTTATATACCATGGCATATATTTTTCTTCACGTATTTATATATTTTCAAGCATTCCTCATTGATGATATGATCACTATTCATTCCTTTTTGCTTTTGAAATATACAGGCGTATGTCAGATGGTTTATTCCTTCGAGTTTGTCGTGAAGAAGCTAATAATCATAGAGATATTGAATTTCAAGAAATGTTTCTAGATACCGTTTGTTTAAATGTAAGTTATGAAATGAAAGAAAATTATTTTATTTTATTCATTTGCTACCATGTATGTGTTAGAATGTGATATCCACCTTAAACTTGTTATCGACATGTCGAAAATCTTGAGTGTACTGATAATCTCTTGAAGTTTTGGGGTCCGAACCTTGACTGTTTTGAGAAATGATAAGTCACTGTATTTATTGTCATTCACCGATGATATATGTCTGATTTCCCACAAACTGAAAGATATGCAAGCGAAAAGCAACAAGTTGGCAGAAGAAGCATCCAGAGAAGATAGGACTTCAGGTGAACATAGAGAAAACAGAGGTGATGAAGATTCCTGGGTAACACCACCAACAGCAACAACAACCACAGACAACAATCAGCATAAATGGAAGGAACCTGAAAGAAACAACCCCCTTTACCTACCTTGGAAGCATCGTTTCAACTACAGGCGGATGATGATATCAAAGCAAGAATCGGAAAAGCAAGACAAGCTTTCACTACTCTCAAGTCTGTGTGGAGGTCAACAGCAGTCAGCATCAAAAATAAGATCCGGATTTTCAACTCTAATGTGAAGTCAGTGCTACTGTGGTGAGAGCTGGCTGCTAGCCAAAGTTGGTAGACAGTAATTGACGTCAATGTTTATGTCCCCAATATTGGTCGTGAGAAAATGAGAACAAAGGCTTTGCGTAGGCGGATGCAGTTAGCATATGGATGATCTGACACAGCCACAAAAGATGCAAGGTTAACTTTCTGTGAGAAACAACCAATCAAAAGACGGTATTTTCTACTAACAATAATCTACAATAATGTACATTAACATCTATAAATATGTGTTGATTTTCCTTAATAAACAATGTTGCCTGGCCCTGGTCTTCTGTTGTTACACTACTATACGGATCAGTGACTTGGCGCGTCATAAAGATCACCTCAAACAAACTACAGACCTTCATTAACAGTTGTCTTCGCTCAATACTCAAGATCAGATGGCCGGCCAGAAAAGATCAGCAACAGGGATATCTGGCAATGAGCGAACCAACCCAGCAGGAACCGGTTGTGAAACAAATAGGCAGGAAGAAATGGAGATGGATTAGCCATACTCTGAAGAAACCATCAAGTGACATCACTAGATCAGCCCTCGATTGGAGCCCGAAAGGGAAGCAGCGAGTTGGTCGTCAGTGCAAGGGTGACTTGGAGGAGGTCCTGTGAAGAGTATATGAAAACGTGTGGGCAAACTTGGAGCCAGGTAAAGACTCTAGCAGAGAACCGAACGCAATGGAGACGCACGGCTGAAGCCCTATGTTCCTCTAGGAATTAAAAGAAACAATAATAATATAATAACCACATTACTCATCGAAAAAGCCGAATGATTTCACTGAATTCGCTGAATGGATAGATAGATAGATAGGATAGATCAGTGACCGATTCGCATTCATAATCTAGTCTTACAGGGAATAGGTCGTGGCTCAAATGATTTAGTTACATAGTCTTATGCGTAATAAGTGATGCATTTTCGAATTACATAGGGGAAATCAGCTTCTCCATGATTTCAGATACATCTCCCTTTTTGGTGATTGCCAGTAAAAAAACAGGTCTGTTTTACAATTGAATTCTGCTGGTCGGTCTTACAAATTTACTTTTTCTTTAATTTTTTTTGTTATAGCTTGATTCCACACAGCATTTCGGTACAAGAATTTTCAGCATGTGATATCGGTAGCCCAAATTTAGCAGACCGACCATTGATATCAAGTGTGCGTCGACCGGGGAATTGTATTGTGCCTCATCACGGAAATCTTTAGTAAAAGGCGAAAGATTTATCCGCAAATGAGGAGACACCAGAGTTATTGAAGAAACTGAAAACTGAATAACAAACAAAAATAAATTTCGTCGTAGGGAAGATTATGGAAGCATGATGTCATCCTCACTGTGCTGGAAGTAAAACAAGTTGTACACCCCAGAGCTCGAAATTGTTGTTGTATCGGAAGGACTTGCCAGTGTTAGATACATTTCGAATTGCACTTCGCTCGGGAATTGCAACACCATGGCATTCCAGTTTTAAGTAGTGATATAAAATTCATTTCTGGTAGTCGAGAATGATGGGGAGACATGTGTGACTATGAAAGCTTTCTGAGTGAGCCATCACGAAATGTATTTTTTTAGCCATAGTATCTGCTAAACTAACTACGATAAACTCCTACGATATTAACCAGAAAGTTGTGTCTTAGGTTGTTGTACACTCTGGTTACACGTTGACCACTTCATCTATTTGGGAAGTTGTATCAGCACCAACGGACTGATTGGTGACGAAATCTCAGCACGGATCCAAAAAGCTCGAGCTGCTTTCGCTAACTTACACCATCTCTGGCGTAGGCGTGACATCCGGCTATCAACCAAGGGACGTGTGTACTGCTCAGCAGTTCTCTCCGTCCTTCTCTATGGCTCTGAAACATGGCCAATACGAGTTGAAGACATGAAAAGGTTGACTGTTTTTGATCATAGATGTCTACAATCTCTTTCTCACGTTAGGTGGTATAATAAGGTAAGTAATGTTGACGTTAGGTTAGGAGTAGAGTGTTGGGCAAAGAGGGGAAATCAATTGACGAGGCGATAAAGTTACATAGACTGAGATGGCTAGGTCACGTGCTGCGCATGCCTAACCATCGCCTCCCCCGACAGACGGGCATTACTAGCTGATATAGGTGCAGGTTGGAAAAGAGTAAGTGGTGGCCAAACAAAAACATGGCATCAATCAATCCATGAAATCCTTGACAGTTGAACTGAGTCAGGTAGGGAAATGCAAACTTCCAGGTTGGGGCTCTCGAGACTCTAAGAATCAATGGCTGGAGACAATAGGTGACATGGCTCAAAATCGTTGTCAATGGCTTACGCAGATGTATTCAGTCTCTGTAATCTTCAATATTCCTTTCTACCATTACTCATTCTGTTTCACTCTTATACTTGTCAAAACTCTATTGATTCTCTTCACTCATCTTCTATGCCTACCTTTGTGTGGTATTTGGAACGTGGCAACTCGAACTGGTGCACTTCGGTGCCAAATTCTATGTTGAGTCCAGACAGAGACAGGCAGGTTACAGGGAATTTGATTTATTTTTCATATTCCATGATCCGATAAGTGTGCTTTTAGAACCGCCCCTCAAATAAATGGAACTCTTTCGACTGTGGAGGGATGCCTTAGACACTGCTGCATACACTGCTCTCACATATACAACCACCAATAAACTGTTTATATATATTTGCTTACATACTACGCTCATATTCCCTTCCCTATCTTTTTATTTTTTTATTATACAGCTTGTTCAGGACCCAACGCGTTTCGATGTATTGGTTATGCCGAATTTGTACGGAGATATATTGAGTGATTTAGCAGCTGGTTTAATCGGTGGATTAGGTGTTACACCAAGTGGTAATATTGGTGAAACTGGAGCAATCTTTGAATCGGTAAGTGAATTTTGAAAAAAAAGTCTTCTATCTGTATTATTCTGGTTTTCCTATGAATGAAAATGTAGTGGTTATAAAGAGCTTTTAGTTTACAACCGTGTTATTGATTGTACTACAGAATTCACCTGCTGTCTTGGCCTTAATTATTTAATGTCGTCACAGTGTATTCGTGTTGCTACCCAGTATTGCCAGATTAAATTATGACTGCGAGACATGGTTATTTGTAGTGGAAAATGTGCAGAGGTTAGTTCACCTTGACAACAGGCGTTTGCGTTCTATCTCCCGTGTTAAGTGGTGTCATATGGTCAGTAATATTGAAGTTTATCATTATTATTGTCCCCTTGGGTTCCGAGTGGAACATAAGGCTTCAGCAACACATCTCCACTTTCTTCTTTTTTCTGCCGTCCTCTTCAGCTTGCACGACAATTACCCACAACCTCTCATCTCCCCCTCCTCACACGATCTCCTCTATGTCATCCTAGGACTACCCACTCGTTGTTACCCACTGGGATTCCACTTGAGGGCCTGGCATGCAATGTCATTCGACGGTCTCCTCAATGTATGCCCGATCCATCTCCATTTTCTCCTGCATATTTGTTAAGCGATCGGCTCTTGATTGGTTTGTTACCAGAGTTTCTTGTTGCTAATTCATTTTGGCCATTTGATCTTCAATATGGAGCGAAGGCAGCTGCTGTTGATGAAAGACTGCAACCTGTTGGAAATCCTTTTTGTGACGCAGCGCAAGTTTCAGAGCCGTATAAAAAGACCGACTTGACATTTGTGTTGAAAATGAGAATCTTGTTCTATACGCTGGCTGAGTGAGTGAGTGCAGAAGATTTTCAAACTGGTTTCCGATTGACGAAGGTGTAGCTGGACTTTCCGATTCTGGCATGTTTTGACATCATCTGTTCCACCTGTAGTTGAAACGATGCTTCTTAGATAAGTGAAGGAGGTAACCTCTGTCAAATCTCTCCCATTGATGGCGATTGGTGCTGGTTGTTGTTGTTGCTGTTCATCGGTTATCTTCATCACCGCTGGTCACAAAGCCAGCGTAGACGAATCCTTCTCCATAATATACCGGGTGCCTAACAAACTACCAAAATCGTCGAAGCACCGCTTACTCCAAACAGCAGAGGCTATTGCAATTCGCCTCAAACAACCAGCGCTCTGTGTCCAAAAGAAACAAGTCCAGGCCCTACTACTGCCCTGGCCCTCAGTAGAGACTATAAACTCATGAATTTGTACCATTACCTTTCCTAAATCTTCTGACATTCAGTTTATTTCATGTTGATGCTGTTCAGCTGTAATTTATCAATATTATTGATTTGATGTTATTTAAACATTAATGTCGTTCATAAGACTAATTCATTCATTCATTATAATGTATATATAATTGTAGAACCTGATGATGAATTTATCGAAAAGAGTTCTCTTTGTTCCCTGTCTATTCTCTGTATTCACCTGCAGTCCTGTCTTCGCTGTCTCTTCAGTCAGTTTGTTGGTTTTCGCGTGTAATTCTTCGAGTTTGTGTGAAATTAGACGTATATCATCTGCGAAATCCAGATCTTCTAGAGTCTTCTTATCGGTGGTCTAACGTATTCCTGTCTTCTCACTCTTCACGTACAGTCTGACTCATAATCCAATCCACCACAATTAAGAATATCATCGGTGATAATTGGTAGCCAGCCTCGTCTTACTCCTGTATGTACTTCGAACGCCTCTCTGAGTTTTCCATTGTGGACCACCTGACACATGTGTCATGCTGCATGTCCTGTGGCGCGTATGCTACCAATAAGAATTTGTAAAAAGTGTAATTTGTGATATCATCTGTGTAGGAGCCACACAATATACTACTAATAGATTCTTATTAGTAGTAGTACACGTCATATCTTTTAAGGAATTAGAAGTGGGCGGTCTGAGATTTAAGGTGGTATAACATTTGAAGATACTAATATGGTATTGTAATTGAAGGAGAGTAAACCCACTCACTTATCGGAGCGAATCTTTTGCACTGACCAAATTAAGTCTATTTCCGTATGTGTGATGGGATGAAGAGGAGTGGGAAGAGCAGAAAAGTGGGTGGGGAAGGGGTTGCATTGAAAAAAAGTCCATATTAGAATAGTTACATCAAAATATTAAATATGTAATTTAAGATACGAGTTAACTTGTTATGGTTTGTTTTGCATATACTTTGAATTTTTATAGTATATATTGTCAAGTTGGAATACATTGACTCCTAGCTTACAAATAGGGAGTGAAGTGGAAGAGCACGTTGACCGCTTCACTTATTTGGGATGTTGCATCAGCCCCAGCGAGTTGATCGCTGACGAAATCTTAGCATGGATACAGTAGGCTAGTTTCGCATATGCCAGTTTACTCCGTCTCTGGCGTAAAGTGATATCCAGCCGGTTATCGACCAAAGGACATGTGTACTACTCATCAGTCCGCTCCGTCCTCCTTTATGGCTGAGACCTGGCCATTGAGAGTGGAAAACATGAAAAGGCTAGCTAGCTGTCTTTGATTATAGGTGTCTGCGTTCTATCTCCCGTGTGAACTGGTTGCATAATAGGGTGAGCAATATTAAGGTGAGGCTTCCGTTGAGTGCTAGGTAAGGAGGGGAAATCAATAGACGACGCTGTGAAATTACATCGACTGAGATGGTTAGAACTTGTGTTACGTATGCCTAGTCATCGCCTTCCTCGACGGGCAATGTTAGCTGACAGAGTGTCAGGTTGGAAAAGAGCCAGTGTTGGTCAAACCAAAACATGGCTTCATCAGTCAATGAAATCCACAACAGATAGTCTAAGCCAGCCAGCCTCCACGTAGGAAGGTGTAGACTGGCTTCCTGGTTTGTGTCCTCGGGACGGTAAAAACCAATGACAGCTGGAGACAATCGGTGATATGGCTCCAAATCGTTCTCAATGGCTAGCGCAGATACATCCATTCCTTGTAACTTATAATTCCTAATAAAACTATATTTTTCTTCGATATTAGTATTCTTTTTGCTTCATATGTCTGTTTACTGTCGCTATTTTGCATTTCTTTTCACTTTCTTCTCTGGTTTTGTGTGCTGAGTGAAGTGTGGCGACTTGAACTGCTGCTCGTCGGTGCAAAGTTCTATGTTGAATCTTGTCAGTCATTTAGTCAAGTTGAAGTGATGTTTCAAATAGATAGTCTCTGCGCTAAATGACCAATGGTATGCTGGGTCCCCATTGACTTTGAATCAGGGTGCTCAAGCTAATAAACCAACTATAGAAAATACATTTATTTTTTAATGAAGACGAATTTGCCTTCACCAATGAGTGTCGTAGGTGGCTGGGGTCAGTGATGACTTGGATATCTCATAAAGGCAACGAGAAAAATTCGTGCCTCCTAAGCCCCCCCCCTCGGTACAGTAAATTCTGCTTATAAGGCTTTTCATTTGTTGCAATATTGGGAATAATTAAATTTCACAATGTTTATATTTTTCGCTATTGTCCAATCTGTTTACCTACAGTTAATCCTTCACACAAAATATGCAACTTTTTGGCAGATCGTGTGGAGTTGTATGATCAGTATCTACCAATGACGATGACACTCTGTTCTGTCAGTCTTCTTTTTGACATTTGTATTTATTGTAATCAATGATTTTACGATTGTCTTTCATTTCAGGTACATGGTACCGCTCCGGACATTGCCGGTCAAGATCGTGCCAATCCAACAGCTCTCTTATTTTCAGCTGTTATGATGCTTCGTTATATGGAGTTAAATGATTATGCGAATTTAATTGAATCCGCAGTATTGGCTACAATTCGTGAAGCGAAAGTAAGTAGCGACTTTTTAATGCTCTATTTATTTCGTGCCTACTTAATTTACCATTTCAGTAGCCAGGAAGTTGTTAGTGATTTTTATGTACATACACCGTAATATCTTGTGATGACAACAATCGCTATATTATGTGTCTGCGTTTTAATCCATATGGAAACTGGCGGACAAAACAAAAGTGTTCCTCTAGTGCGTTAGTCGTTCAGTAGTAGAATGCTCGCCAGGCATCTACCTGAAAGGTCTGGGTTCGATCCCTCATCAGCGCCTTCCCATGCCCCATTTGTCTGTTAGTCGGGCGTGAGACTAGCAACCCCACGCCGTAAAAAATACGACACCGTCACTACTGAAGCGTTAAAGTCTGAAGCCATATACTTCACTCGGAACACAAATAAAAGAAAATAAATCTTCTAGAAACGTTCAATTATGTGTGTCTTTTTAGGAACTGTGAAGTATGCATTTTCCTTTTGTAGGACAGTTAGTCACCCCCTTTTTCATTCACCAGGAAAAATCGCAGTAACTCGGAACGTTGTGGACACTTTATTATTAGAACAACACATTTAAGCGAACAATATTGTTTTCAATTAGATCTCATCAGGCTTAACTCTAATATACATAAGTTTACAAATAAAAATTCAAATATAAACCAATCATGGTGTTTTGTCTATAGGATAAGATGGTGAATATCAATTGTTCAATTAGTCATAATAGTAGTAATGACAATAATAATAATAATGGTCTTATCAATAATAAGGACGAAAAAGTGAGGCAATCTGTGATAAGAGCAAATTAGTTCAGCGAAGAGTCTCTTTTCGGCGAATTCATTCACTTAGCTGTACAGTCGCAAATATATATACAATTTTGTGTGTGTGTGTGTGTGTACATTAGGTTTGTCAAAATCAAAATAACAGTTAGTGTGGGTTGTTGATTATATCATCAAGATAATGAAGAAGTTAAAATGTGTGATTAATACTCAAAGTTGTAACTAAGTGGGGTGAAGATTGGTAAGATGTGAGTAGAGTTACATCATCAAAATAATGAAGAAGTTAAAATGTGTGATTAATAACTTTAACTTCTTCATTATTTTGATGATGTAACTCTACTCACATCTTACCAATCTTCACCCCACTTAGTTACAACTTTGAGTATTAATCACACATTTTAACTTCTTCATTATCTTGATGATATAATCAACAACCCACACTAACTGTTATTTTGATTTTGACAAACCTAATGTACACACACACACACACACAAAATTGTATATATATTTGCGACTGTACAGCTAAGTGAATGAATTCGCCGAAAAGAGACTCTTCGCTGAACTAATTTATTCTTATTTCAATGTCTTAATGGGTATATTTCGCGAATCTGTGATAACACGAATAATGAAAAACAGTATGATTAGACAAAAAATTGTTCAGGTGGAAGTAGTCGATAAAGGCTAATAAAAACAAATGAACCGATTAAGTAATGCTAGATTGTAAGGGAAGTAAATGAAACATGCTTATAATGAAGATGTGATAGGATTAGGGGATGATAAGGAAGGGGTTGAAAATATAAACAAGGGGTGGTGTAGAAGTCATTATTTAGTTATGTCTTAATAGGCCAACAAGGGACGGATAATGGCTGTACGAATTTCTTTTGAATGAATAGTTTAGGTTTAATAGTTCGAATGCCTATCACCTCAGCTGTGTGCAGTAGGCGAATACGAAGTCTGTTGGAAAGATTCGGTGGGATACGATGGATTACTTTGAAGGCTCTCGTTTTCTCCACTACATGACCACTATCAACTAACTAAATGTGACAAAATTGAGCTACGAACTGTTTTTGTCTGTGCTTTGCCAAACCACGATGGGAGATGTTCACTAACGCCCAATATAACTGTCACCACAGGTGCAGTTGAATTGATAAATGCACATAGATGTGACAAAACTATCTAGCTTATCCTTCGTTTGCGTCCCAAGCATTCGTCGGCTAGAGAATGACAAACATAGGTGTGCTGCGTAAAATGTTCTTCGTATACTCTCCTTGAAAGTCTTTGGAATAAAATCTCACTTGATAAGTCACCATTAAATTGGAACCTAATAAATAGGGGTTTTTTACGTGCAGTCAGAGTTTTAGGTTTTTTTTTTCTTTGATGTTTTCATATGTTTCTTTATGAAACTACTCGGATAGCCCATCTCCGTCAAGGAATCGTGAATATTACCAAATTCCTTTTGTAAGAGGTCATCCGTACATATATCTTTCTTACTCTGCTCGTAAGACATTTAACAACATTCCTTTTATATTATATTTAATGGGCACGTATTTTGAGCGATGTTGTCAACCGAAAATGTATATGCGTGTAATACTATTTTCAACTATATCTTCCTCAAGCTTCACTCTTGTATACATAGCTTCATATATATGGTAAATTCTTGACCAATGACGTTCACTTTGTGTAATCAAATGTAGATGTCACATGTAAATATGTAGGTGTCACATGTAACAATGATTATAATCATAATAACGATGATGATGATAATGATTATAATAATGTCAATGATAACAAAAATTCAATTAGTTGACGTAGACAGTGATTACGAATAGTGAAGATAACGCATGATAACGTAAACATTTCATCAATCTAATTAGATCAATTTACACAGAAGTTAAAAGTTACGTAATGAAGTAGACAGATGATCAGACTTTGAATACAATTGTTAAATGTATCAAAGGCGTTCAGTTCAATTTAATTTAATTTTAGATATTCCCGTCGATTGATTGGACAGAAGTGCTCGGTCTCAGGTTGACATGTCGGCTTCTTGTGCAGGTGCTGCGACGATGTCTGGGCATTTAACTAGTATTTAATTGGTGGATGGTGACTAGCAGTGGAATCCACCAATTAAATACTAGCGTTCAGTTCAAGTTGAAAACTACATGTAGCATACAGGAGAAGGAATAATTACGTAGAAAAACACAATGAATTAATGGGTTTGAAAGAGCACAAAGAGCGAGTCCATTTTGTCTGTCTGTCTGGATTCAACATAGAACCTGCCACCGAAGTGCACCAGTTCGAGTTGCCACGTTCCAAATACCACACAAACGTAGACAAGAAGATGAGTGAAGAGAATCAATAGAGTTTTGACAAGTATAAGAGTGAAACAGAATGAGTATTGGTAGAAAGGAATATGAAAGATTACAGAGACTGAATACATCTGCGTAAGCCATTGACAACGATTTTGAGGCATGTCACCTATTGTCTCCAGCCATTGATTCTTAGAGTCCCGAGGGCGGGCCCCAATCCGGAAGTCTGCATCTCCCTCCCTACCTGACTCAGTTTAACTGTCAAGGATTTCATGGATTGATGAGGCCATGTTTTTTGTTTGGCCACCACTTACTCTTTTCCAACTTGCACCTATATCAGTAAGTAATGCCCGTCGGGGGAGGCGATAGTCAGGCATGCGCAGCACGTGACCTAGCCATCTCAATCTATGTAACTTTATAGCTTCGTCGATTGATTTTCCCTCTTCGCCCAACACTCTACGCCTAATGTCAACATTACTTGCTTTATTATACCACCTAACATGAGAAAGAGATCGTAGATATCTATGATCAAAAACAGTCAACATTTTCATGTCTTCAACTCGTATTGGTCGTGTTTCAGAGTCATAGAGAAGGACGGAGAGAACTGCTGAGCAGTACACACGTCCCTTGGTTGATAGCCGGATATCACGCCTACGCCAGAGTCCATTTTAGCCAATGAGGACAATTTTTACACCTTATCACAAAGAGTCTCCAGCCACTGGTTCCTAGCATCCCGAGGACCCCAGTCAGTCAGTCAGTCTACACTTAATTAAATGGTTCAAACCAAAGGTCGAAGAGTTCGTGGTTCGATCTCAAGTTTTGATTTGACCACTCCTAACTATTTTTAAACCTTATTCAATGTCAGCTGACATTTCTCACAGAGAAAGCCGGTGGCTACATATATGAAACATGTTTTGTAGCCGTCTCAATCGATATAGCTTCACAACCTCACGGACTGACTGATCCTCCTTCATAATGAATGATTTTCAGCCAATTTTTCTGACGAAACGTTATACTACTTTAGCCTTCTTATAAGTAGACCACTAGTTAAATCCTGGAAATTTCCAGCTCACTCAGCATAGTTCATATTTCTAAATGATATTTTGGATGTTTTGTAAAGACGTTATTGCATTTAATCGGGTAAATTGGGTATATATATATATATATATAAATATATATATAAGTACTAGTAATATATTACATATTAAGGTGACTTTTTTCCATCACTGTATTCCCTACTTGTCGACTGTATTCTATTGTGTATGTGAGCGTGAAGAAATAAAGGTTATCTTCAGTTTTTACATTTAAAGCTTTGTATCTTTTTAAATTCAACTGTAAATCCACTCACCATTACAAAAAGAGATGTAAAGTTGTAGACACAAAGGTAGAATAATTCGTGTGATGTGTGTTTGCTTAGCTTGACAGCGTCTGTTGAGATGAAGTTTAACCGACAGTCGAACCATAGTGTATATGATATCTCACTCGGTCAAGGTTGGTTTGACTTGAAGAAACAAAAACAGATTGTCTTGCAATCTGTTTTCTCTGTCGCTGTCGATGTATTGATTTTCGACTGTATGATGTGATACAAGTGTTCTTGTTTACTGAAACTACTTAGCCAGTGGTGGTCAAACGAAAAAATGGCTTCATCAGTTAATGAAATCCACAACAGTTAGTTTAAGCCAGCCAGTCACGTAGAAAGGTGTAGACTGGCTTCCTGGTTGGGGTCCTCGGGATGGTAAAAGCCAATGACAGCCTGAGACAATCGGTGATATGGTTCAAAATAGTTCTCAATGGCTGGCGCAGATGCATCCACTCCTTGCGACAATACCCAAAAAAAATTGTATTGTTCGTCGATATTACTATTCTTTTTGCCTCATATTTCTGTTTACTGTCACTATTTTGCATTTCTTTTTACTTTCTTCTGTGGCTTTGTG